CTCCAGCCACATGCTGTTCACCAAGCACACGCGAAGCGAGTTCTGCACTTCCGGGGGGGACTTCTCTTTCGCTTCGTTCCACTTCTGGGCCACGGCATACAAGGATGGTAGCAGCCCCTGAGGACCGCTGCTGAAGTGGATCATGAATTGCTTGTCCACTCTCATCAGCTGTAGCTCCTCTTCCTGGCGTAGACAGAGAGATGCCATGTTCACCACAAGACGCTCGAGGCCTCCCGAAGAATTGCCGAAGGTTTGGTTGCCCCGGCGGTGTTGCCCTCGTCGAGGTGGCCCCGCCTTCTGACGAGCCGTGGGCTCCATCTCTACATCCTTTGTGTCCGTGCGAGGGCGTTTCGGCAGAGAGCTGTCGGGGTTTTCGTTCTGATCCGTGCGCTTTTGCATGCTCTGGAGGCTCTGTGCCACCGCTGGAAGGCATGCCCCGAACACATCCATGAGCTCCGCCTGGGACTGCGGCATCATCTCTTCGCTCGCCATCGCCATGCTGTAAAGGATGCACTGTCAGACTTCTGTGGACGGCTTCTTGGAAAATGACGTGGCAACTGCTAGAGTGCTGAGCTCTGTGATTGTAGGGTTGGTCGCAAAATTGACAATGCGGTTTCGCTAACCCACTGGCCCAGCCTGAGCAAAGAGCTTCCACATGCGAGCCAGCCCGTTGCCACCACGCAGAGTGACAGTCTTTCATGTGTTTGCGGAGGCCGCGCTTTGTGCAAGCGTGCGAACAGAACTGGCATTGTAGAGACCACTGTTTCACCGAGCCAGCGACTGGGATCGGCTCTGTGCTCTCACTCGGTGCATCCGCAGCCTCTGGGCCTCGAAGCTCCGCCTGGATGATGGCATTCACCATGGTGACCTGAAATAACACTGGGCAACTGTCGGAATGTACACTCCCTTTGCTGGGCTGGCCACCACACCATGTACACTCGTGGACGATCTTGGGGATGTGCTGCCTGCGCCATTGCTGCGTTTGGGCTTGATGTTGCTGCCATTGCTGCGGGTGAACTCTGGTATAGTGAATCTTAACGTACCTGAAGTTCGGGAGCCATTGTCGGCATATGGCGCAATGGTGTAGAAGCTCATCCTGAAGGTCCTTGCTGAGTGACATGGTGCGCGGGTCCCGGGCTGTAGCATCCATGGACCTGGCCAGCTCTAGATAAGGTACGGGCGAGGCTGCGACGGAGTCGACGACTTGTGCAGGGACCTGTGCTGTGCTTACAACAGCCTGGCAATGATTGCCTGTGACGTGTTTGGCTAAGTCGGCCCATCTCTTAAATTTGTGGCCACAGCGACTGCACTGTGGCATTCCATCGGTGCCGTGCCGGTAATGGTCGAACATCGTGGGCTCCGCCTGTCGTCTGTCAGCACTGTGCTTCTTCGCGATGTGTGCACGGAGGGCCTCCTTGTTCTCGAACAGAGCGTGGCAGGAAGGACAGACGTGCTGGGGTGTAATCCCCCCGACAGTCCCGATGCAAAGAGTCTGGAGCTGAGTGAACACGCGATTCTCCCATGCAAGAATGGTGGCCGAGAGCCGGACATCGTCCGCCTCAAGTGTGTGAAGTAGCTCCTGGGTGCGATGCTGAATGGCCTGTGCCCTGTCCAAGAGCAAATCCACCGGGGCTTTGAGGCGGAGGCGCTGCCAGAAATCATGATCCGATTCCAGCGTGAGGTGCCTGGGCGAATTGGCCATTGCCCTGACCTGCTTGGTGAGCGTCACTCGCATGAGGTCCAGGCCCTTTGGAGTGATGCCCGAGGCCGTGATGCCGTAAACGGTGGATGAGACCACCGTTGCCTTCCACAATGCCACCCTCTTCGCAAAGGAAAGGGCTCTGCGATTCATCAAGTATGGTCGAAGCCGCTGAAAAGCTACCTTGCCTGCCTGAACCCTGTGTTTGGCGTTCTGGTTCTCAAAGTCGGCGTAGCTGATGATGGCTCCTAGGTACGGGTGTTGGCGTTTAAGGGGCAAGCGGTAATCGGGGGACAACTGCAAATACTTGCCATCCTGGGTCTGAACAATGATCTTCTTCTTCGCGTGCGGTGCTTGTGAGCCTTCTGCCTTGAGGAGGCAAACAGTCTTCTCCTTGCTAAGGACCAAGCTCATCTTCTCTAAAATTGCAAGGGCCTGAGCTGCTTGTTGGAGGGCTGTATGCATCTCTGCCAAGGTAGAGAATGTCCATCGCAAGTGCAGATCGTCGGCGAAGCCTACCAAATGCTCTAGGCACCACTGTGTCCCTAGAGAATGGTCCAAGCTGTGGGCGATAAAGACCATGATGCAACACCATAACGTTGGTGATAATTTGCACCCCTGCCTCACTCCCCTGCGGGAGGTGAACGTCTCCTCACAGTCGTCCTGGTTGATGTGGTATGTGGTGTCCTGAACCCAGCGCATGATGATGTCGACTAGGGGCAATGGGACCTGGAGCAACGTGAGTGCCTGCAGTAGCAGACCTCTGTCGATACGGTCGAAAGCCTGCGTGCAATCAACACTGACCTGGAGGCCGCCAATGCACTTGTATTGTCCGATTCCTGCTCTTTTGGCATATGGAGATCTACCCTGCGCCTGTGTTCTGGTGCGGACTAGCTCGCAATGTGCGAAAACGAGGTCCAGCGCCTGATGTGTAGAGCGGTTACCGAGGTACCCATAGAAATGCAGGTGACGAGTCCATGCCTCCAGGTAGGGGGTCAGGTGCTCCTTGATGATGCCACTCACTGCTTTGCCGGCCGGCTCGAGGAGGGCGATCGGCCTGAGGTGGTCCGGTTTGTTCCCCGCCTTGTTCGGTTTGCTAAGGAAGGTGAGCCAAGCTCCGGGCCATGCATCAGGAATGTGCGCCCCGGTTTCGCGCCAGTGGCTAAACACCGATGCCTCGAGAAAAGTAGCGATGGGCTCCGCGGCGAGTTTCCACATGATGTGCGGGGCGCAATGCTTGGGAGCAGCCTTGCCAACATGCAGGTCACGAAGGGCCTGCTTGATGTCATCAGGGGAAATGTCGTAGGTCAAGAACGGGTCTCCCCCGCCAGGAGCCTCCTGCATCGAGGTTTTGTGGACACTGCCGCAGACATCCTTCCAATACGCCGCTAGTGCATGCGCTTCCTCTGCCGGGGTCATGATGCGCCCCGAGTCGTCCCTGAGTTGGGTGCGCTTTCTAGCCTGCTTCGGTGCCACCCGTTTGAGTAAGTCAAAGACGGCCCCTGAGCCATCCACCTGATCCCGTGCCTGAGCCTCGGCCAACAAAGTGTCCATGTGCTGCCTGCGTAAACGACGACTGTGACGTTGGACCTGCCTGTGGAGCCGCTGAAAGGAGGCCCAATGCCGCATTGCCTGAAAGACAGCCCGAAGCCCAGGTACCCCGCGAGCAAGCTTCATGTGCCGGTAATGGAGCCACATTGTCTTGATGGTCTGCACATGAGCCCCCTGCGCCCAAGGTGGAGAAATGCTGTGCGGGCGGTGGACGGTGAAGACTCGTCGCCCGATCTCAAGCAGCTTGCGATTGAGCCCGTGAGGGTGGTAATCTGAGGACTCGGCCAGGGCAAGTGCGACCTCCTGCTGAAATCGAAGACCGATGTCGGGATCGCTCTTGACCTGCTGCTGGAGTAACTTGCACTTCCATATGGGCCACTCCGAGGTAGCTGTGGGCCTGGTGAACCGGTAAGGCTGCAGCTGAACCTCGACAGTGATGGGAAGATGTTTGCCTCCTCTGCGCCACTGCCCGACCTGAAAATTGCGGATGAGACTGCAAGTACGTTTGGCTGCCTGGACTTTACGAACCAAGATATAATCAACGAAGGATTTGCGAGCCTGCTGATAGCCATCATGGATGTAGGTGTAGCTGTTGTGCCTGCCAAAGGTGTTTACAGCAACGAGCTCGTTGTCACTGAGGAGGTCGGCTAGGCACTCTGCATCGACGGAGTTGGCCGCGGCCTTGAGCATGCCCTTGCCTAACCATGGTGCATGTGAGCTGATTGCTGTGTTCAGGTCCCCCGCTATCATGAGAAAATGGCCTTGTGGTACCTGTCCAATGGTCTGGCGGACTGCTTTCCAGACGACGGCTCTCTCCTTCACGATGCGGTCTTGGTCTGTTTGTAAACCCCAACAATGCTGGTAGATGTTGATGAGATTGACCCAGCCTCCTCGAAACCTCGCTTGAACGTGAAGCACCCTGCCTGGCAAAACGTGATGGTACCTAACATGTTGCTGCGAAAAAGTCGAACTTCTGAGGCAAGTCATGACACCTGCATGTGCGCGGCCGCCTTGCTCTAGCCCCGAGTTGATGCATATCCAGCCCCTGGTGGTGTAGTCCAGGGAGGATTTCAACCACGATTCTTGAAGCATGACCACTTGAAAAGGCTGTTCTTCCAACCACGTGAAGAGCTCATCTTTGAGTGTGCTCAGCCCGCCGCAGTTCCAGGAAAAACACCGTAAGGAAAAACCTTGCCTTCCAGCGCGTCTGGGTGTCCTCGCCACGCTGTGTGTGCTACGGGTCATCTGCTGTAAAGGGGTCGGAGTGTAATGCTGTAGGAGCGCACCTTCATTGAAAACTTGCCCCCTGTAGGTGGTGCTGCCCTGCGCCCTGACACGTCTGAGTGCCCGCTTGTAGGCACGTTTCCGAGCTTTGGTGTAGCCGTGTGACCGGCCTTCTGCGCACCTTTTCGCAGGATCTGGTGCACCCGGCATCATCTGTACTGTCCTGCTCTCGGAAGCCTGGCGCGAGGACTTCCAACCCTCGTCTCTGCTGCCTGCGGAAATTCCCGTATTGGGCCTCACATGTGCAGCCCGCGGACTTGGGACCGCGGCGGCCAAAACATCATCATAAATATTTGCTGTGCCCTCTGTACTCTGGTGCATGCCATAATTGCCATGTGAAATGCTCGACATGAAAATCCAGAAGAGAAAGCCAAGCATGAAAATCGGCAATGTAAAAGGAAATGCAAAAGGGAAATGTCGACGTGGAATACAGCAGCTGAAAACCATGCGCTCTACGGCAAGCAAAAGCTACCCCACCCCAGACTCACAGCAAAAAGTGCTCGGGCCGAGAGACTTGATTCGCTAAACTTTCTGTGAAGTCGTCGATCGGTCTGATTTTCTTGACTGACCCCTTGGCTGCATCCCAGGAAGACTGGACAACTCCAAACCGTCTGGTAAGAATGGCATCGGCAGGCAGGTCTTCCAAAGAGAAGGGCCCTTCAACCCAATGTTCATCCCTCTCAGCCAAAGTCAACTTATAGATTTCGGCAGCAACGGCCAATTCGTCTGCAGACATTGACTTGGCTGATTCCAGCACGGCTTGCCACACACACCTTTGATTGTCACTAGCCACCTCACGAACCTCAGGCACTGACAGTGAGGCGTAAGTGGCTTTCTTTGGTAGCACCCCTGAGCTGTCAGGTATGGGACCCAGTAGATCAAAACCCTTGCCAATGTCACGAGGCAGCTTTGAATCGCCGTAGCCCGATTCACGAATCATTTCACCCAAGAGCTTCATGGACTTACTGGCAAGGATGTCTTTACAATGGGGGGACACCAAGGGGTCCTCCCCCGCTGTAGTTAACTCCTTGGCCCTGAGCATCCACTGTCTCAGATTTGCAGTTCTTTCTTTAGCAATCTCCACCGGTGACATGGAAACGCAATGTTCAATGCACTCCTTGAGTGGGGCAAGCAAAGCCGACGCCAAAAGTTTTGGATGCTTGCACTTTATTGCCTGGGCCACAAAGTCAGCAGGGGACCATGGCACACCGAACCTGGCAGCGATTAACGACTCACGGCCTTCGGGGTCACCCCCGGCTGGGAAGGACGAGAGACGCTTGGAACCCGCAGGAAGCAGCTGCATGGGCGGCTGAGTCACGCAACCTGAAGACACAACCCAATCTGCTTCTAGCTTGGGAGCAGAAGGCACAAGGGAAGCTGGGCCAGTAACGTTGACCACGTTGGCATATTCAGCAACCAGGGGCGGCAAACGCTTGCTCGGCTGATGAGACGTGGCAATCTGAGCAGCACGAGCCGGCTGCAGCTCAGCAGCATGCAAGTTGGGTGGCAACGGCTTGGCATCAAGAGCTTGAAGCTGGGACACAAAAGAATGAGCAAGGCATCTGCACATTAGAGGAGGGTAAGCCACCTCAAACTTGGTGGCCCAGCCACCATCGGGTAACCTGCCCCACGGGAGGTGTTCGTGGGAGTCGTCGCAAGAAACCTGCATGACCTGTAGAAAAGGGATTGCGTGGCACAAAAGTGTATGCTTGCGGCGCTGGCTGCCAAACATGCAATGGTGCAGGCGGGTGCATATGTGGGGACAGCGCAGCAAAGATACAATGGGCTTGGTGGCCCAAAAGAGAGATCGGTTGGGGTTCTCGATGCACCAAAGAATCCCAAGCTCATTGCACTTGTTGACAAGAGAGGCTACGAGGGAGTACAACTTATTTGCAGTCGAAACTCTAGTCAGGTCCAGGCCTTGAAGATCCGGCACGCCATCGGGAGCCTGGGAAGTGCGCAGGGGCCGGGGAGCATTGCGCCCAGGGATTGATCTTGCAGCACTGGCGGTACCGCACGGCGGGGCAAAATGACATGCAACGACATCTGGCCGGGCCAGCATTTCACTAGCAAGTGATTGGCCGCCATCAGTGGCCAAATCAAGGGAAATCACTGGACACTCGACTCCTGCACCCGCCTGATGATCAATGCCCCGACTGCCTGAGAGACCCTTCTTACGCACCTCAGTACAGAGACCCCCGGAGCCACAGAAGAACTCGAGGAACACCAGCTCGGAAAGCGGGCGACCTGCAATTCTCGCTTTAACCCGATTCAGGAAGGGCTTAAGGTCATCAGGAACATCAGGTTGCCACGCAACAGGAGGGCAGTCAGTGCTTGAGTCCTGCGGCAGTGGGAAGCCAAGCTGCATCAGGACCGTCCGGTCAGAAACTGACATGGCATGATGGTCCCCACCAGCATAAGCAATTAGCACAACACGACTGCCAGTCCAGGGCTCGGTCGAATGAAGGCAGGTGCGAGCTGGGAAAATCACAGGACCCGCACGCACAGCACGCAGCGTACCTGGTAGCTGAGACCCATTCACAGGGCGCATAGCCGAGCCTCCTGGCTCATTCACCCAAATCTCACCTCCATCAAAATCACTCAGCGGACAAACAAGGTTGTGATCCGTAAAATTATTCGTGTCCTTGTGACAAGAAGTTGGAACATCGCGATGCACTGCAATTGAAGAAAACTGAAAATCAGGCATAGAAGCGCGGGCAAAAGCAATCAAAGCAGCCACACTGAGAGGGAACTCTCGAGTAGCGCTGAAAACACCATGAATGCCGCCGTGGCGAAAGGAGCCACAAAGGAATTTCTCACCAGCGCGATCCACATTTGTGCGGAGCTCGGTCTTAGGCAACAAAGAACACAAATGCAAGCAGTCATGACGGGTGATGGCCTGGGGGCGCTGCAACAGTTCACTTGAGAACT